AAAGCTGGACAGTGAATTATCCCACATGGGCTTCATTAAAAACAAAACAAAATAAAAGCAGTGTGCAGATTTTATTACGTTTTCTAGTGTGAGAATAATTTTATAAAAAGTACAGAAATGAAAGGTTACCTGGCGTCACCCAGAATGGAAATCATACGGTATGGGGGTAACTCAGAAGATGCCACATGCGCTAAGATTCCAAAGAGTCTTTCAGCCATTATCATATCATTCTGCGTCACCTAAGGAGATAAAAATGATACTGTTTACCACCAAGAAAAGGAGGGTGAGAATATGTGTACAACTTCAAGAACGTAATCAATGTCACCAAATTTTAAATGTAGAAACTGTTGAATTGCTCTTTGCTTTTCTGTGTATATTCTCAACAACAACAAAAGAAATAAAATTTTAAGAAAATGATACTGCTTCTTGAGATGGAGCAGCTGGGGACTTTAGACCCAGAGAGGGAGAGAGGGGCTGTGTGCTTACAGGGTATACCCTTTGGTTGGTTGATGATACATGGAGGGGATTGTAACCATGGCAATGAAACGATATGCAATAGGATGAATGTAAAGCTAATGTTCTCCCATGTAAACGATCACATAATTCACAATAAAACATTAAGAAAAAAGAAAATGATACTGCTTCTCAGCTTAATACAGCAAATAGAATTCCAAAGAAATGCTCAGATTGAGTCCAGTAAAGTCCATTTGCTGGGCTGTAAGAGTTTTGATTGGTGATGATCTTGCACCCCCAAGCTTCACTAAAATGAAGGTGGACGAGTGTGGGTCATAGTGATGGAAGACAATTAATGGGTGATGAGTTATCTTCGACTTCTTGTGCTGTAGACTCGATCTCTTTGACTAATAGCGACCATTTATTGGGTTTTTGAGAGCCGCTGGTGTGTTTGAACTGCAGACCTCATGGTTACAGTCCAGTGCTTATCCTACAGTACTACACTAGGGCTTTTAGAAGTTCTTTTTCCTGAGAATTATGCCTGAGGTATTTTAAATTCTTAATGAATTTTTTTCAAAAGTCCTATTATTTCTTGGAATAGAATAATTTAGGGTAGGAAATTCCTCAGATAGATTCATCTTAATAGTATGTCAAAAAGTAATCCAAGGTGTTGTTCATACCTTGTTTCCATAAGGACAATTTTTTCCCCATCATGAGAGATGGAACGCATTGGATTTTAAAGGATACTCCTGTTCTTGCTAGAGTTTTTATATTTAATTTATGCCAGTCTTTTCCCACTCAAGGACCAACTTCTCACAGGCATACTTGGTGAAAGCCTAAAATCTGAAAGCTGGACTTGGAATAACATCTGGGCATTCCAAGTACTGTTGGTTGATTTACATAGTTCAATTATTTTCTGCCAGAACCTATTTGCCCTCTAGGGAAAATCTGGTACTGTCTGAAGACACTTCTGGTTTTTACAACTTTATAATTAGGGATGGATCCTACTGGGATCTAGTGGGCCACCTAGGGATGCTGCCAAACATCCTATAATGTGCAAAGCAAGAACCCCACTCCTTTAAACAAATAATTGTGTGGCCCAAAATAGCAATAGAGTTGAGATCGAGAAACCCAAGTCTAGTTAAAAATTTGAGATTTTTTCCCCCCAAATTAATTCTTAACACTACTTCGCAGACATATTCTAAAAAATGAACCCACAGTTCACAAACATCTTCCATACAGGAATCAGTGCCAATTGTCTCTATTTTCCCTCCCAGTGACCTTCAGAATTGATGTGGCTGCTACTCCCCAAAATGCTTCCTTTAACTGACAATTAAATTGTCCAATATAGCCATCTAGTGACCACTGCACCACTGGTGTGGTGCTGTAGGATAAGCACTCGACCACAAGTTTGAACTGCAAGGTCAGCGGTTCAAATTCACCAGCCACTCCTTGGAACCCTATATAGAGTCGCTATGAGTCGGAGCAGGCTAGACAGCACTTAACAACAACAAGCCACAGGGGTAGTTAGAATGCCCCTTGGAAAACAGGAAGGACGAGACTTTGTCTCACATGATTTTGGATGACTCAGGAGGGGCTGGGCCCTGGAGCAGGACATCATGCTTGGTAAAATAGAGGGTCGGCGAAAAAGAAGAAGATTCCCCCAAACGCAATGGACTGACAGGGTGTCTACAACAGTGGGTTGAAACATAACAATTGTGAGGGAGGACGGTGCAATGTTTCATTCTGGTGTGCATGGAGCCATTATGAGCCAGAAGCGACTTGAAGACAGCTAACAACAACAGTCCATAGGTCCAGGCAGTGTTAGCAACTGCAGGGCAGTACAGCTGTTGTTACTACTTTGCTGGCAAAGTTTACTACAGTTCCTCTTACAATAAGGATGGTCTTGTGAATTTAAAGAGTTGTAACTATATTAAGAACACATTGTTGTTATTATTGTCGGTGCCATAGAGTTGATTTGGACTCACAGTGACTCCACGTGACAGAGGAGAACTGCCTACGGACTTGTACAGAATGTTGTTAGCTTTACAGGAACACATGACTGGGTTTTTCTCCTTAGGAGTTGCTGGGGAAGTTCGAATCGCCAGCCTTTTAGTTAACAGGACTCCTTAATTACATGTTCAATATGCTTTATTTTGAGTACTATTTAAATTCAATAAAGACATGGACATAGTTTCTCTCTTGTCCTGTAAAATAATATCTAAAGCAGGCATGTTGAGTATCTGTGAGGATTACTGTCGTGGCATGTTTAGCAGAGTCCATCTAAAAATACACTTTGCACTAAGAGTTTCCCAGTTACCCCTGCAGTGATGCACAAGGCAGATGCTTACTTATGTCCATTTCATTTGCCTTTTCTCTCACCTTCATGTTCCTTTCTATCATTTCTCCTGGCTTTGCTTTCCTTCTCATTCTTTTTTAACAACACTGTTTTAACCCTGCGTGCATCCTCCCTTCCCCCCCAACCCCCCCACCCCCACCCACCATCTTATTTTTCCTTTTCTCTGCCATGATCCTTATTAGTTGGTATTTAGGTATTACTTCTCCTCTTCCTTTTACATGACAGGCAGTTTGCAAAGCACTTTGAGAAATACAAATATCACATGACCTATAGAAAAGTTTTAAGGCGCTCTGGTAGCTTAGTGGTTATGAGTTGGGCTGCTAACCTCAAGGTCAGCAGTTCAAAACTACCAGTTGTTCCATGGGAGAAAGATGAGGTTTTCTGCTCCTGTAAAGATTTACAGCCTCGGAAACTCTGTACAAGGTCGCGATGAGTCGGAACCGACTCCATCGTATACTACCACCACCACAGAAGAGTCCTACTTCTTTTTTGCTACATCACCATTTTACTTCTCTGATTGCTTCACAGACAAAATAAAAACTACTTACTATTCACCATAATCTAGTTATTACTGATTTTCATAACTTATTTAGTACTTTGGAAATTTTGGGTAAACAGAATTTTGAGGAATTTTTTTACTTAACTGTCGGGATTTAAAATATACACATTTCTTCAGAGTTCTAGGGTAATTGTTTAAATTCTTAGCCATTTTTTATGACTAGTCCTCATACAAATCACCATTTTGATTTTATGGTTGACTTAGGAGTTAACTTACCTCTGTCCCGTTTATTTTCTGCATACTAAAATGGCTCAGCCTAAACAGTACGTAGTATTTCCAGAGAGTAAAATTGACAACTGGATTTCCTTGAGGATCGATTGTCAACTGGTCAACGCGGCGGAGTTGGGCTAGTGCATTAAACTGCTGCAGCATTACAAGATTTGTCTCCTTGAATTTAAGGTGCTGCAATAATACAACAAAGTGAGAGCGGAACAGTGAGCTTAGCTATCTTAACATATTAATATTACAGCTTCATAGACCATTCTCCCAGGAAATGTGTAGACTTTAAGCTTAGATAACATGTTTTCAATTAGATTCAATCAACTGAAGGTACTAAACTCGTATATAACATTTATGTATCAATCCAATCAATAATGAATCTAGGATGAGTTCTCTGCTGTAAAGGACACCCCCTCATTTATTAACAAACTAAGACTCTGAACATTTATATTAATATACAACAATTCAGATTCTTTTTTTTTTTAATTAAAAAATTTTTTTAAAGTTTTTATAGTGGATTGAGTGAAAGTTTACAGGGCAGATCATCAGTTTTATATTCAACAAATCATACACCTTGTTTCATTACTATGATTATAATCCCCTCCATGGACCATCAGTTAACAATATATCTCTGTAGTCACATTAGCTCTTTTTAAACACTCAGGCATAGATAATCATTGACACCACCAAAGGGCACGTTCTGCTAACAATTCAGATTCTTGCAGGCATTACAGAGATCCAGCATTCTTTGTGCTGATATTAAATCTGCAAAAGAAAAGACTAGAAATAAAAATCTCACAGTGTTCTAGGCATAGGGCTCACAGGGCTCGTGGGCAGAGCTAGTTAACCATTGCCACCACCTGGATCTTGCCAACTACTACGTAGGCTAGTTAAACTGGCTGCTGGAAAAGCAAGCCATTAAAACGGAAAGACTAATGCAAGCTTTCCATCAGTGAATCTGGGTGATCTTTTGCTAATATACTGTCTCTACTTCTACAAGTCTTTGTTTGAAAGGATGAAGAGGCAAAACCAAAAAAAAAACACACCATAAAAGGACAGCTGAGGAAAATTACTTGGTTAACAGAAAAATACAACTATAATACAAACGCAAGAGGGGAAATCCGTTTCTCAAATGCATACTAGTATACAATAGTACCATAATTGGAGAGGGATAACTTCTCAAAGTAGTTTCAGTAATCTACTAAAATGATTCCAAATGGTGTTAGGAGATTCCTGTAAAAGTTGTATAATCAATGCACATGACCCATCAATATTGGTGGTTGGGGTGGCTGAGTGCCATCGAGTTGGTTCTAATTCATATAGACCCTGTATAGGGTTTCTGAGCCTGTAAATCTTTATGGGAGCAAAACCCCTCCTCTTTCTCCCACAAGTGACTGGGAGATTCTAACTGCTGGTCTTGTAGCTAGCAAGCCGCTCATAACACACTAAGCTACCAGGGCTCTTTCCCATCAGTATTATTGTTGTTGTTGTTGTTGTTGTGTGCCCTTTAGTCAGCTCTGACTCATAGTGACCCTGTCTAGGGTTTCCAAGAAGTGGCTGGTGAGTTTGAACTGCCGACTTTGTGGTTCAAACCAACCTTGCAGTCCAGTGCTTTATCCCACAGTGCCACACTACATGAATAGGTACAATAGGCATATATGAGGTCCTGTTGAATGTGTTGTTGTTGTTATGTGCCGTGGATCAGTTCTGGCTCATAGCGACCCTGCACATAGGGTTTCTGAGGCTGTAAATCTTTACGGGAACAGAAAGTCTCATTTTTCTCCTGCAGAACAGCTGGTAGTTTCAAACTGCTGACCCTGAGGTTAGCTGCCCAATTTGTAACCACTACACTACCAGAGCTCCTTGTTTTATAAGGTAGAAGTATATACTTTAAATAAATTTATAATATCCTTTCTACTCCACAAAGAATCATTTTTGGAGGGAAAATTTCCAATATTAACTGAAAACTAGAAAGTCATCTATGAATACTAATTTAAATTCCAGCTCCAAAAATTCCACCCAAAAGCTCAGCTTTCCTGCCAGATAGAAACTGTATAAGTAAAAGTTAAAAAGCTCTTTGGCCTCAACACACAAGTCATGACTAGAGTAATTTAAATATACTACTAAAAGGAAATGTTTACCAGAGAATTAGGAAACTTAAGCTTCAATTTGGGAAGCACTTGGACAATTTCATCAAATTCTATGAAAGTGAAGGAGACTGTTGTGACCATTCCTGCTGTTTGGGCACTCCAGTTGCGGTCCAGAGATTCCAGTGCTCCGGAGCCGTACAGGGAAAGTGTGTCTCCATCCACCTCCACCAGGTGTGTGTCTGTTACAGTGAGCCCTGAGTCCACAGACCTGTAAAAGCAAAGGCACAACTGCATGTGAGTTTCATGAGCGTTTACTTTTATAAAATAAGTAGCTTACTATAAAGACCTCTTGGAAAAGCTCTTTGAAGTGTCATATTCCGTTTTTCATCTCAATAATTAAATCCAGAGCACCAAAGACTAATTTTTCAACAAAATATATGGAAGATTTGAATCTCTCTAACATTTATTTTAATTCAGAGGGTCACATTCTTAACAACAACAACATAAAACACATGTTGGAACACCAGTTCTTTAAATCAGTGAAACATAATTGATATTCCATTTATTTTTAAAACTCTCCATTTAATATATCATCAGTTGAATAGAGCCATTTCTTTTGCTTTAGGGGCATCATTTAGACAGCCTCTTATAGAAATATGGCTCTTACTTTGGAAATAAGAACTGCCGTGTTCAACAGAATAGGTGAAGTGATTTTGTGTGTATGCAAATATAGAGTAAATAGTGGATTTACTGTATCTTTTCATGTCAGTAAAAATAAGTCTTCCTAATCTTGGCTAAAAAAAAGTTTTAAAAAGTGTTTTTGTACTAAGTACCATAGAATATTATGGAGTTCTGTTTGGCGCTGTAGGGTAAGTTTTAAAAAGTGTTTTTGTACTTAAGTACCATAGAATATTATGGAGTTCTGTTTGGCGCTATAGGGTAAGTTTTAAAAAGTGTTTTTGTACTTAAGTACCATAGAATATTATGGAGTTCTGTTTGGCGCTGTAGGTAAGCACTGGATTGCACAGTCAGTGGTTCAAACTCACCAGTCACTCCTCAGGATCCCTATACTGGATCACTATGAATCAGGACTGACTCCACCATATATAACAACAGCAACAATATTAAAATATACTCAGAAAACATTTGGAAAAATATGTAACTTGTTAATAATATTGTCTCTCAGAGGTTGAATTAGGGGGAAACTTTTTAATGATTTTTGAATACTTCCGTGTTGTTTGAAATTTTCAAGCATATCCTATAGTTATAAACAATGAGAATATCCTCCCTATTATGAAATAAATGATTAAAAATCCACTATTTACTCTATATTTGCATACACACAAAATCACTTCACCTATTCTGTTGAACATGGCAGTTCTTATTCCCAAAAGTAGGTGTCACATTTCTATAAGAGGCTGTCTAAATGATGCCCCTAAAGCAAAAGAAATGGCTCTATCCAACTGACTTTTTTCTGCAAGTGTAACTAGAGACCCAACTATTTGTTTTGCCCAACCTCAAAATTTAAACAGTGCTTCGCATTTGTACTCTGTGTTTTCATTCTGGGATCTTTGCTTTCTAGCAGTATTGATTTGTCCTAATGGAAATCAACGTGTTGCCCTTGCCTGTGGGCGCCTATGGGCTTCTGCACATTCCTCTAATACAGCATCTCACACACTATAACTAGATGCCTATAATCTGCTTCTTCTACCAGACAGAACTTGCTTGACTTTCCCCACTAAATACGGAAGTGAAATAAGGAGTCTGGTGGTGTAGTGGATTACGTGTTGGGCTGCTAACTGCAAGGTCAGTCGTTTGAATCCACCAACTGCTTTGTGGGAGAAGCATGAGGCTTTCTACTTCAGTAAACATTTACAGCCTTAGAAACCCTGTTTTCTGAGTTTCTGTTTCCGTGTTTGTAAAATGATTACCATAACATTTTTTTTTCAGAGTTGTTGTAAAGACCAGAAATAATATTCTAAACCTTGCCTCCTGCTTGGCTCAATGCATAGTGACTATTATCATTTTAAAAATATGAGAAAAGGTTTATCATACATTTCGGAGAAAATAAAAGCAGGACTGATTGACTCTGGGTAACAAAAGAGAGGGAGGAGTCCAGTGTGATCCAGATCTGTGGAACGGTGAGCAGGTTATCCAGTCTAGTTTTCTACCTCTGTCTGGTTGGAATGACACTTTTCTGTGGAGGATTCTTATTTTACAATCTGTTTTCTCATGAAGGTCAACACATTCCATGTATATTCCCCAACCCAAATATTAATTATATAATAAGAAGCAGTATGCCATCAAAGAAGAATTCTTTTCAAGATCTTTAGAGGTTAATTCCAAGTCTAATCTTGTAAAGGAACAACCCTAGCTTTACATGTAAAGAAATCAGGAACGTTTGTTATGTCTTCTCAATGAGGGATGGGGACACTGAAAACAAAACAAAACAAAGGGTGATTAACTTAATGCAATACAGGAATGAGTCCTGGAAACCAGGCTGCATGGAGAACATACTCTAAGTGCTTAAGTGGAAAAAAGGACAATTTCAAAGGATTAGGTTGGCTCCCCACCCCCTCTTTGGGCTTTCTATAACAGGTTAGAATAGAAAGGCTTAAGATATTTCGGAAGATTCTTTTCCCAATAAATAAGTGGTGCTGATTCCTATAATAACTTACTTTATGAATTTCTATTACAACATTCAGAGGTGTGGAAATTCATTTTATGCATTATATTTTATTGTCGTAGTATTGGCTAAAATACCACAGCATTCATAGACAGGAAATGATAAAAAATACACCAGTTTCACTGCACGCATCCAATGTAAGCAAAGAAAACATTACACCAAGTGCTTTCCCATTTCTGCCAAGGGAAAAGAACCCTACAATATGTCATTGTACTGTAGAGCTGTCCCAAGCACAGTGAACAGTGGAACCATTAATGGGACACACCAACAGATTTTAGACTTTCTTTCCTTGGTGTATCTACACTTGCTTCCAGTTTACATTTAGTTACACACCCACAAGCCAAAGGTCACAGGCACTGTAACACAAGAATGAGCCATCTTTGTGGCATTATGAAGAACTAAAGAGTATGAATAGGATTGTTCAAAATGGGAAACCTTAGGAAGTGATTACAAAACAAATCAGAATCCTAAGAAAGAGCCCTTGAATTTCTGACTAGCTTTTTGCTTTCAGAAAGAGTCATGCTTATTTCATTCAAGACAGATAAAATGGAATTATATGTAGTAATATAATTTCTAATATTTAAAACTTTCTGCACTTGTAGATAAAGATAGCAGACAGCCTGAAGATACATGTTTAAAACCTCTTTCTCCAAGACTCCATTAAAGAATAACAAGGTAGTTAAAAAATATAAACTCACAACAATGATAAGTACCACTGGTCCACAAAGGGGGGACCAGTGGCAGCAGGAGATTTCAGCAAATTTCTGGAAGATGGAAAGTGTGGGGTGATGAAGGAGAGCACAGGAAGGTGGGCAGAACTTCATACAGGTGCTGCAGACCAGAACAAATATGGCAGTCAAGCTGCCCAGCAGAACTTTAGAGAGGAAAAGACAGTAGACATAATAGAAGTTGGAAGTAGGAAGTGAGACCCACAAAAGGAGTCGACCACCTTCTGCTCGCACTGCCAACAAAAGCCATCAGGCAGAGTGGTGCTGTAGATCAATGGGAAAAGTAAAGAGTATTTAAATAAATAACTCTAGGGCAATTGGCTATTCTGAAGGGAATAAAATCAGACACTGGCCTCAAACATGAAAATCAATTCCAGGTGTAATAAAGACTTAAATGTGAAAGGCAAAACTTGAAGCCATAGGAAGACAAAATGGAAAATATTTTTATGATCTTAATGTAGTATATTTTTTCCCCTTAAACACTATCTAAATTAGGAAACCATAAAGGTAAAGGCATACAGTTTGATGTCTTCAGCATATAAATGATATTTAAAGTCTAAGTCATGGATGAAATTGTTCAGGTGAAAGTGTTGAGGGTGAATGTAGAGAGACGAAGACCCAGGACCATAATCTGAAGAACTATCTTTAGAGGTTGAAAGGATAAAAGTATTTGAAGATATAGGAAAGGCACATAATTAAAAAATGAAAAAAAAGAATGCTAAAGAAATTAGCAATTTGATATAAAACAATAAACCATAAAGAATGATCCAAACAGGTAAGTTTAAGAAGCTACCAACAGACAAAGTGCAAAGGACTTCATAGTTATAAAAGAAATCCATTGCTGTCAAGTCCGGAGCCCATGGACAAGGACATAGCCACAGAGGGTTAAAGCTGAGAGTGAAGCATCCAGCTAATGTGAAGTGAGGGGAGATGCACAAGAACGCCCAAACTTTCAGACAGTACCCATTTGACCTAGCCTTAATGGCTTGATTGTCAGACTTGACTAGAGGAAGACAAAAAAACAATTTTTGATAAAGGAAACAAGTGTAAATTGCAACAATTTGATGAATTTGACCTATACTTATGGATGTAGTAGTTCAAAATACCAACTGAGAGAGGAATCTTCACATCAAGTATCAATGCTATCCCCTCTGTACACAGGGTAGTTAGGGACAGGCAACTTAGACACTGGCTATGGAGCTCTGGCAGCGTAGTGGTTACGAAATCAGCGGTTCGAAACTACCAGCCGCTCCGCGGGAGAAAGATAAGGCTTTCTACTCCCAGAAAGATTTACATCCTCGGAAACCCTGTACAGGGTCGCTATGGGTCAGAACCGACTCAACGGCACTTAACAACAAAAACAACAACCTAAAATGAGGAGGTGATAAAGGCACTAAGTGACTGGCTTACAAGTTTTCTAGATGGAATTTAGTTTAAGAATGTGCAGGTGAAGGAAGAGGCCCCACTGAATAGTTTTCATCTTATCTAGATGGGTCTGGTGAAAAGAGATGGGGATAAGATTCTTATGATTCAATAGTGAGTAATTGTTATCATGACTAACTGCAACTGTCACAATTGTAAAGGTAGAAATTTTGTAACAAAAACAGGGGAGTAGTTAATCTTACAGTCCAGGAACAGAGGACCCTAGGACCATCAAGAGAGAAGAGTATGAGTGCAATGCGGGACCTTATCCAGAGAAGCAGCGACACCAGAGATGGAGGCAGAGATGAGGACATGGAGAGAGGGAGCAGCTGAGGACTCTAGATTCATGGGAAGAGAAAAACTGTGTGCTGGCCACCAGGAGGCAGGCTTGCAGAATGTGTCCTTTGGTTGTTTAAATTATTATATATTCCTGAGTGTTTTTGTGTACACCCCTCCCCCCCCAAAAAAAAAAAACAAACCCAGAGGGAATAGAAGCAAATATTGTTGAATGATAATACATGGAGGAGATTGTAATCATTGAAATGAAATTATGGTGTAAAGCCAATGTTCTCCCATGTAAACTATCACTCAATTTCACAATAAAAACTAACAATAAATGAAAAGTAAAGATTCTATCAAACAAACAAAAAGTTATCAATAAAAGAAATATAGATATGTTGTTTTAGGATGAGGGTGAGTGAGCTGTTGCTCTGATAAAACCAAACCTGCTGCCACTGAGTAGATTCCATTCACAGTGACCTGTAGGGCAGAGTAGCTAGTCCCCATAAGGTTTCCAAGGCTGTAATCTTTATGGAGGAACCCTGGGGTGGAGCTTTAGGCTAATCACTGGACTACTAACCACAAGGTTAAACCCACCAGTTGCTCCTCAGAAACCCTTTATGGGGTCGCTCTGAGCCGGAACTGACTAGGCAACACTTAACAACACCAAGAACAGCAATCCTGATGGAAGCAGACAGCCAGATCTTTCTCTAATGGAGTGGCTGGTAAGCTCGAACTGCTGACCTTTGGTTAGCAGCTAAACACTTAATTGCTGTGCCACTAGGGTTCTGAACCCTATTACAATAAGAAGTATATCTAGATTTCCTAAAGTGGTGTATTACAATCTCCCACTATTACTGTAGATTTGTCTATTTCTTTCTTCAAATCTTTTTGCTTTATATATTTTGGAGCTCTTTCATTGGAAGCATAGATATTTATTATGGCTATGTCATCTTGTTCAATTGACCCTTTAATCATGAGATAATGTCCATCTTTATCTATTATGCTGGTTTTTGCCTTAAAGTATATTTTATTAGAGATTAGCATTGCCACTTTTGCTTATTTTTTATTGCAATTAGCTTGGTATATATATTTTTTTCTATACTTTAACTTTTAATCTGTTTTTGTCTTTGTGTGTAAGGTGTGTCTCTTGCAGACAGCATATTGAAGGGTCTTGTTTTCTTATTCATTCTACCACCCTCCGTCTCTTAACTGGTGCATTTACTCTGTTGACATTCAGTGTAATTATCAATAGGTATGGATTAATTGCTATCATTATGCTTGATTTTTGTGTGGTACTGCTGGTTTCTTTGTTCTGCATGCCTTCCTGTGCTGAGTTCATGTTTTTTGTTCTTTCTTCAGTTTTAATGTTTCTATGTTCTTCTTGGATTTTCATTTTCTTGGTATGTTGTGAAGTATTAATTTTCACTGATGTTACCTTATATTCTATTAACTTTTTTCCCCATTTAAAACAGTCTAATTTATCCTGCAATTTACCTGACTTTCTCACCACCTGGATGTCTGTTCCTATGTTTTTAGCTTCTTTCACACTGTAATTGTTTTGATCATGGACTGACCTCCCAGATCCACTGAATTCATTCTTACAGTTTTGTTCTGTTCTGGACTCTTCCATCTGTTGATTGAGTTCCAAGTGGTGTTGCCACATATGTCAATCTCTGGTTGTTGTCTGTTCTTGTTGGTTCTCAGTCCAAAGAACTCCCTTTAGGATGTTTTGAAGCACTGGGTTGGCTTTGGCAAAATCCCTTAGATGCTGTTTATCTAGGAATTTTTTTTTTATACTGTTGTATTTGATTGACAGCTTTGCTAGGTAGACGATTCTTGGTTGGCAGTTTTTTCTTTTCAGGGTTTTATATATGTCTCCCCATTGCCTTCTTGCCTGCATGGTTTCTGCTGAGAGATCCGAGCTTACTCTGATTTGCTTGCCTTTGTATGTTATACTTCTCTTTTCCCTAGCTGCTTTCAGGATTCTCTCCTTGTCTTTGATTTTGGAAAGCTTGAAGAAGTATATTTAATTTTTATAAATCAAGAAACATTATGATATACATTTAGAAGTTTTCTAGAAAAGGAGTCAGCAAAGTACACTTAAAAACAAAACAAAATGTAAAAAGTAGCCATGAGAGTAAAGGTAAACCAGGCGATTTGTGGTATGAAGGAAGTTAAAGAAAAGAGCCTTTCAATTATGAGGACTTAAAGTTCAAAAAGTCACCTTGGGGCCTCATGCTAAGAGTCCCTGGTTTAGACAAATCCAAAGTCTGATATGCTTTTTGAGAAATATTTCTATTATTCAGAAATCAGGTAGTCACAAACTGAAGCAGAGAAAAAAATCCACACCCGCTCACAAAACCAAAAACAAAGCCCTGTGCAGCTGAAACAATTTCAACTCCAGCAACCCTCTAGGGAAAAGCAGAATGGCCCCATAATATTTTCCGAGGTTGTAAATCTTTACGGCAGCAGACTGCCACATCTTTCTTCTGCTGAATGGTTAGTGGGTTCAAACCACCAACCTTTTGAGTAGCAGACAAGTGCTTTAACCACTGTTCCCAGGGCTCCTCTCCACATGCACTAGAAGTTCTAAACTAGCAATTTTACATGGCAGCCTTCACTGTTAATCTTCATGTCTATCCTCAGAGTTGTATGTTATCTGACTTTACATAAAAATGTTTTTAGTGCTCCTGGGTTTATGATCATTAAAAGGGGTTAAGACAAGGTAAATTTAATGAGGTCTCCATGGCACTGTGAACTTAGATCAGTAGAAAGTAAATCTTTAGCCAGAAGTTGTGGTTCATTTTCCTAACTGTTCATTATTGTTCTCCCCAGTCTACCCACTGAGCCCACGCATCTGTGTTCTCATGTATCCAAAACTTACCCTCTGTGCACCTTGTTTGAAAGTCTCTGACTTTGTGGAACTCCTTATAAAAATTCCGAAATTCTTGGCAGTAACTATCAGGCACAATATTTTTCACTAACAGATATTTCCTCTTTTTCTTGGAACCAACTGCTTATTTTTGAGGCCATAAAAGCAAAGACTATAATTTCAGATTGCTTTAGAGGGCCACAGAATGTTTTGGCCACAAAAGTTTTTGAAAGTTCAAAATGTCAGGAAAGTTCCATTAATAGTCTGGAATCCACCTATCAGACATAGCTTTGTCAGGTAAAAGAGCCACTTAATAAAGACACTTCTGCACTCAATATAGCTGCCAATTCTGTTAAATTCTGCTTACAGTGAACAGTACTGCAACAAGCCCACAGGATGCGCCACAGAGATCAGGAGGAGTGTGGGATGCGTGACATAGAGATCGATTGATGTTTTTTTTTTTGCTCATTAATTCTGCAGCTAGTCCCACCGTTGTTTAAGCTAACTCCAATGACTTCAGCTAACCTCTTTTCCTCTGAAGACCTTCACTTCTACTCTTCAACACCCCACCCCCATGACCACACAATGGCAGTGTTTTGTTCTGTGATGCACAGAATCACTTAGCGTCAGAGCCGACTTGACGGTACTTAAGAACAACATGTACTATTTGTCTTAAATATCTTAGAAGAAAAGAGGTCACGAACCACTGGAATAGACAGCTACCACATCTGGGGTAATCATTCAGATTTGATGTCAAATTCCTGGTGTGGTGCTGAGGGTTAATGCGCTGGACTGCAATGTTGGTTTGAACTGCAAGGCCGGAGGTTCAATCTCACCAGTCACTCCTCAGAAACCCTAAGCAGGGTCACTATGAGTCAGACTCGATGGCACTTAACAACAACTAGTTAAGGAGTAAAGCTCTGTGCTGGCTGCTGAGGCCACAAAAGAGATCATGACAATCCACATCTGCTCATCTAACATACTAAAGAGAAGAGATGCGAACTGATGATCAGTTAATTCATTGTAATTGGGGAAACTGTGAAGAGGGGCACAGGGTACTTTAAGAGAAAAGAGGTATCTGACCTACTTTAGTCTCTGGACTGAGGGAAGGTTTCCAAGAGGATGAAAGGTATAAACTAAGATATGTGGGAGGGTAAAGGAAAGGAAGTAAGATGTGGAAACAACGTGGGGAGAAGGAAACTGTTTCTAGAAGAAAGGTTTGAGGTAGAAAGACGCAGAACCGAAGACTGTTACAGAAGTGGTAGAACCAGAATAAGGGGGCTGTTGGTGTGTGGGATGAAACGGGCGAGGTGGGCAGAAGCCTCGTAAATCAGGAGAAGTAATCTAACGTCCTTCCTCTGGAAAACAGGAAACCATTGAAGAGTTTTTTAAGTCGGAGAATATTGTTATGTATTTATATTTTCATTTTGCCCATTTAATTTCTTTACCTAAACTTAAAATTTTGATAAGTTTTTTATAAAACGTATTCAATTCTTTAGAGAAAACTAATACTTAAAAATAATTTTATGTGAAAAAAAATCATAATTTTATGTGGAATGATTTCTATCCCAAACCCAAGTCCCCAACAACATCAGTACCCTGAGAGAGTACAGTGCATACCCTGTTTCCTCTGTAAATGTAGACACGGCGCTTCCTTCAATCTGTGGGGTGTCCTGAGAAGGGGAGTCAGAATCCTTTCCATCTTGACTTGTCAGAGTATTCACTACTCGATTTTGTTGCAAGTCCCACTTTCGAGCTACGTTGTTAATTGTTAACCGTTTCTTCTCCTATGAAAGAGTTTGTTGTGACAAGAATTACAAAACACAATGATTGTATCAGAAGAGAGTATCTAAGCAGCATATGGTTGTACCTTCTAAATATGCATTCTAAAATAAAATACAGGAGCGCTTTCCCCTGTGCATTGAATACCTCAGCAGTGGTCTATCTTCCTACAAGACAAAAATGACATACACATAGGAACTACTCTTTAGGAACTTAATTTTATTTTTAAAAAATCCTTGGAAACAGGAAAATTCACCATGCAGAATTTTAATCTGATGTACATTTAAATACTGCAGTGTTATCTGAAATGTTAATTCGGCAGACATTTTATCTACCTCTATATTTATATATAGCAAGAAAAACTAATAAGAACTCTGGTAGCGTAGTGGTTACGAGTCAGGCTGCGAACCTCATGGTCAGCAGTTCGAAACTACCAGCTGTTCTGCGGGAGAAGGATGAGGCTTTCTGCTCCCATAAAGATTTACAGCCTCGGAAACCCTATGCAGGGTAGCTATGAGTCGGAACCGACTCCACGGCCCACTACCACTACCACCACCACCATATAATAGTCGGACTAATAAGGTGCACTAGTTTTTATGCATGTTTGGGATGGGCAATTGAAATGGTAATGCCAATAGCCATAGCTAGACTATTAAAAAAAAGGGGGGCTCAAGAGGCAGGAGAAGACACAGGGAGGAGTGCAAGTTATAAAGACAACAGAGGTAAATACTGTTACATACCCAATCCTGCAGTAATGGTGGTCTATAGGTAAGATATAGGAATAGACACTGCAGCTTAGTGGGTATAGAAGGGACATGGGAGTATACTCACAAATATGGAAATCTTTGACACAGGACATTTGTAAAAGGGTATTTACCTTTGCTGCAAATCTATCCATGAGTGTGGTGCAACAAAGTTATGAAAATTTCTTACACATAACTGAATAAAAACCTTGAAGGAATAAGTTGTTGGGCCTAGGGCAATAGTCTCTGGGGACACCAATTGACCAAGGTCAATTGTCATGACATAATTCACAAAGACAATATTGTACCTCCTACTTTGGTGAGTAGCAAATGGGATCTTAGCAGCCATCTAAGGGGCAATTATTAGTTTCTCCTTGACCAAAGGAAAGAAAATAGAAGACACATAGAAACAATGAGTCTAGTGGACCAATGGACCACGTGAACATCAGTGTCCACGGTCCTGAGACCAGAAGAACTAGACAATGCCCGGCTACCACTACCAATGGCTCTGAAAGGGATTCCATTAGAAGGTCCTGGATAGAGTGGGAGAAAATTATGGAACAAAACTCAAAATCATAAAAAAAGACCAAGCTTACTGGTGCATAGAGACTCATGGAACCCCTGGAATTATGGCTTTTGGTCCCCCTTCAATTCTGGAAATGAACTCACGCCTGTGGTTCACATTTCAGTCAAACAATAGACAAATCCGTATATAGGGGCAACAATAACACTGGGGAGGTCTGCATACCTTAGAACCATCAATCACTTGAGATCAAATGGGCAGCATTTTCCCAAGGTCAAAGTGTGGAAGGGTTAGGGAAGAAGGAGGAACGGAACCAAGATATACAAGGAGGAGGTAGGATAAGTGATGTTTCATTGTGGGAACTGTACTCAATGAGATGAAACGAAAGCTGTGAGAATTGTCGAGTGGAAAACTGATCTGCTCTGTAAACCTTCACCAAATTCACAATAAAAGAAGAAAAATAAATGTCTCTAGTCCTGGTATGGCACTGTGGGATAATGCACTGGACTGGAAGGTCAGTTTGAACCACAAGGTTGACAGTTCAAATTCACCAGCTGCTCCTCAGAAATACAGGGTTGCTATGAGTTACTGTGATTCTGAAGGAAGAGGTCCAAGGTGCTTTGAAAGCATGGGCAAAGAACAGGGCATCAGGAATCGATGGAATACTAACTGAAATCTTTCAACAAACATGTGGCACTAGAGGCACTCACTCATCTCTGCCAAGAATTTGGAAGACAACTCTCTAGCCATCTGACTAGAAGAGATCTGTACTTGTGCCCATTCCAAAGAGAAGTGGCCCAACAGAATGTGGAGATCATCAGACAGGATAGATATCCCATGTGAGTAAATAAAGTTTTACTGAAGATAATACAAAAATGGCTGCAATCATACAATGGCAGAGAACTTCCAGGGTTCGAGCCAGATTCAGAAGAGGACATAGAATATAGAACAATGCATCACGATTGGAGGAAGTCTTATTAACAACCTGTGATATGCAGATGATACAGCCTTGCTTGCTGAAAGCAAAGAGATTTAAAATACTGATGAAGATCAAAGACCACAGCTTTCAGTATGGGTTGCATCTTAATGTAAAAGTGAACAAAATCCTCACCACTGTACCAATAATAAAAAATCTATATAAATGGAAAAAAGATTGAAGTTGTCAAAGACTTTATTTTGCTTGGATCAATCATCAACACTCATGGAAGCAGTAGTCAATAAATCAAACATATATTGCATTAGACAAATCTGCTGCACAAGACCTTTTTAAAGTGTTGAAGAGTAAAGGTGTCAGTCTGAGGACTAAGGTGCACCTGACCCAAACCATGTTATTTTCAACCACACATGGGAAAACTGGACAGTGAATAAGGAAGACTGTGGAAGAATTGATGCATTTGATTGATGGTGTTGGGGGAGAATACTGAAAGTATCATGGGCTGCCAAAAGAACAAACAGATCTGTGTTGGAAGAAATACAACCAGAGTGCTCCTTGGGGGCCAGGATGGTCACACTTTGTCCTACAGTGCCACACCAAAAGTCCTCTAGATGAATGCTATTGTTGTTGTTAAGTGCCATTGAGTGGTTCCGACTCACAGCAACTCTGTATAGGCTTTTCAAGAAGTGGCTGGTGAGTTTGAACCCCCCACCTTGTGGTTCAAACTGGCCTTGAGATCCAGTGCTTTATCCCACAGCACACCAGGACTCGAAGTTAATACATTACGTGCAGTGCATGCCCTGAAGTTGTGCTCTTCAAGCTTCAGATAGGGACTTTGAAACACTTCATTCTGGTTCAACCTGGTGCAGAAAGCTTGGATTTGTACCCCAGATATACTGAGTCCGAATCTACAGTTTAACAAGCTCTATAAAAATCATCTACGTATCTTGTCAAAATGTGGATTCTAACTCCACATATCTGGTGTGGCAAGGTAAATTCTCAGCAGGGGCTTGAACCTAAATGAATCTATTTAAAGCCATGTTACAGATTGTTTCAAATGACCTAGACCCATTGCCATCGAATTGATTTGGACTTACAGTGACCCCATGGTATATGGTAAACTGCTCCTTAGGGTTTCTGAGACTTTAAATCTTTATGGGAACAGATAGCCTCATCTTTCTCCTGAAAAGCAGCTGGTGGGTTTGAACAGCTGAACTTGTGATTTGCAGCTCAACACTTAACCCAGGTGGGTCACCAGGGCTCCTTCAGTGACCGAGAGGACTTGTTAATAAAACAGATGGCTGGGCTCCACCTCCAATCTGATTCAGTTTGTTAAGTGATAGTACTTAACAATAACACTCTTTTGGCGTTAGATAGCCAGGTTTGTCTCTGACAGAGTCACTAGTGGGTTAGAACTGGCAACCTTCTGGTTAGCAGCTGAGCACATGGCCTCTACATCACCAGGACTACTTTGCTAGGTGGCACCAAAGCCCTGGTGTTGTGCTGCAGGATAAGCTCTGGGCTGATAACAGCGAGGTCAAGTGGTTCAAACCCACCAGCCACTCCTTGGAAATCCAATACACGGTTACTATGAGTCAGAACCAACTTGATAGCACTTAGTAACAGCAACAACACATTGCTAAAACTGTATTAAAGTGACGTCTGTTTGACAAGATGCCAAATTTTAGGTTTGCCACTTGAATGCATTCACCATAGTTCTGGCAAGGCCGCACCCAGACTAATAACTGTCTTTCCCAAAGTTTTCAGGAATATAGCAAGTTAGAAAAGCAGTAAGGTAGAAGATCTGCGTCTGTGCACCCTTCCTCTCCCTCTATAGCTGCACATCCCATTTTTTTAGTGATCCGTCTGTGGTACCTCATGAAACAAACCACAGCAAATGCTGACCGTCTATTTGATTTTAGCGTGACTCAGACTCTAAGCTGTGACTAAGACTCATGCGCTTTCCTCTTATTGAAAATAAAGACATGAAATGACTCTCATAATCAAAGCGTCCTATAGAGGCTGTGTGCTCCCTGAAAGACTGTAGTCTTGGGAGCCTTATTTAGGGTTGCTGTGAGTCCGAATGACTTCATGGCAGTCAGCTTGGCTTTGCTTTGATACGTAATGAATTTCAGGAGCAATGACAATTATTCAAAGTTTTCATAAAGACTTTCTCAACATTGAAAAAAAAAAAATGTTAGTTAAAAATTTAATGCCAAAAAAAAAAAAAAATTTAATGCCACATTTCCACAAATGCTAGTGGTAGCTGGCAGTTGAATTGGATATATAACAAAACATTTTCAGCTGAAAGGTGGAGCCAAGTGTTACTTGGTATAACAGGCTCTACCAACACTGGCAGCCACTGAGGGAAATAATCTATGGAACTTCTTTATTCATTATTCCTTTCCACTCTCCAGGGCTCATACAAGAGTATTCTCTAGGTCTGGAGACTCTATTCGATTATATTCTATTGTATTTATTTATGTTTTTTTTATGGATTGAATAACTCATTCATTCATTTATTTATATATCTGGAGGCAGCAGCTGCTTGATAGGAAATACTACTTCTCCTAAATGAGCCATTTGGAAAAGCTTGCCAACAGCATTACCTGGCAATGGTAAATCTTGTTCCAAGAAATGGAAAAAGTCTTGCCTACAGTTATATGAAGGAGCTTCAAAAAGTTCATGGAAAAATTCCATTTTCCTTTCATTTCATATCCCACGAACTTTTGAAACCCCTTGTATTTCCTACAAACAAAGGAACTTTTGGGCAAACGCTAGGGCTGTTCCATTGTTAAGGAAGACTAAACTCCTGTTGACTAGGTCGTTACAAAGAGAGCAGTCAGGAGAGGGCCTGGGCCTAGCGAATTAGTGAGGGGGGAATAGTAGATAGAAGTAGGAGGACTGAGGAGGTTACTGTTGACAGCAGGTGACAGAAGTCCAGCATACTGAGTAACAGTTCTAATGACTTTTTAAGTAGTCCTGAGCTGAGCAAGCCTGGGGTCAAGTTTTATTTATTGTTTTACTACTTTAGGAATAATTTTCATAGAATGAAATGTAGATTTTTAAGTGTACTGTTTAATCAGTTTTGAAAAGGGCATATACCTGTATTTCAGATTCATTAAGAAATGAAACCTTTTCATCACCCAGAAAGCTCCCTTATTTTCTAAATTAACATATTAACAACTTGATTCTTACTAGTTATTCTTTTGAATTCTAGACTCCATTTCTATTTTAAAAAGAAAAGCATCTATTTAAGATACAAACGACTAATGGCAACCAATCCAAGTAATAACCTTCCTTTTAGAACAGATTCGGAAGCATAATGTAAGCTGTAAATGTTAATTGATCTTTATCTGTTAAACTCTGTGACATTAATGTACAACATTTTAAAAAGCAACAATAACATTACTTTTCTTTCAGGAAAGGAGTATCTTATATATTAAATTATTTAGAGGCAATTTAGAACAAATTTTAAATTCCTAAATTCTTTAAAATCTTTACCATCTCTTTATTGTTGTTGAGTGCCATCGAGCCAGTTCTGCCTTACAGCAACCCTGTGTAGGGTCTCCCAGGCTATGGGAACAGAAAGCCTCTGTCTTTATCTCATAGAGAAGCTAGTGGGTTTAAGTTGCTGACCTTGTGGTTAGCAGTTCAATGCTTATCCTACAGTGTTATTAAAGAAAGTTTTCAAATTTAAAAACGCTAACACTAAAAAAAAATCCATTTACATAAGCTCACTAAAATATATCAGTAAAGATGGCATTCTACTATGTGACTTCCAAAATGATGTACACACACCATGGTGACACACGAGATGCAAGATGTTGCACAGGTGGTGGTGGTGGTGGTTATGTGCCGTGGAGTCGGATCTGACTCAGCAACCCTGCATAGGATTTCCAAGGCTGTAAATCTTTACGGGAACAGAAAGGCTCATCTTTCTCCCACGGATGGACTGGTAGTTTTGAACTGTTGACCTTGAGATTAGCAGTCTGACTCGTAACCACTATGCTACCAGAGCTCCTAAGATGTTGCACTAGTACTGTGGGGTGTGTGTGTGTGCGTGTGTGTGTACGAATCACTTCTATGAATATTTATTTTTGTATCTCTCTTCAAAAAAAAATCTTAGCTTTTGCATGTGTTTTATAAAGTACAGTAGATTTTATCTCAGATGTACAGGTTTCTTTACAGATAGGAGTGCTTGTGCTTAAAACACATTGTACTCGGAAGACTGAAGATCGTTAGCTTCCGAGGACGTGAGTCTATGTACGCAGACGTGCAGGCAGAAATCAGAGATGATACCTTGAGCAGAGATTGTTTATGGCTCTCCCGCTTCTTCTCTTCCTCTTTTTTGGCTACAACAGATGCCATACGCCTTTCTTCTTCCTAAAAGAAAAAGATTCAAAGTATTGTAAAGCATTTAACTGTTTGGGATTTTTTTGTTGTTGTTATTGTTTTTATGCTAGATATCTTTGGTTCTGTGAATCTGTTTTTCTTCTTGAGAGACACAGTACTGCCAAAAGAAAATATGCCCTCACAGGAAAAGTTAGCATGCTCCTCTTTATTGCCTCCTTCTTCCTAATCCTAAAAACAAAACTGTGTATTCGTAACTCTGTTCCCAACTCTGGAGATAAGATGAACCAAGCAAACACAAGAAAGCAGAAAGAAGAGAAAACAGGAAGAGGGAAGTAGGTCTGCATTCTTTTTCTTTGTACAGCAGAACCCATAGTTGCATATGAAAAAAATGAAAAAAATTCCTATCATCAACATAGAAAGAAGAGTGACATTTCTAACAATTTTGATTTGCTTTATGATTGCAAATGATTTTAAAAAAGAAAAGGAAAAGTCTTTTTAAACTCTCCATTGTATTAGTAAAGTAGTCCTCATTAATATAATTCCTATTGTTGTTGTTATTAAGTACCGTGGAGTCAGTTCCAACTCATAGGGACCCTACACAGGGTTTCCAAGGCTGTAGATCTTTACGGGAGCAGACCGCCTCATCTTTCTCCCACAGAACAGCTGGTAGTTTCAAACTGCCAACCTTGAGATTAGCAGCCCGATTCGTAACCACTACGCTACCAGAGCTCCTTATAATTCCTATCAGTTTGCTTTAAATTTGATTTGGCCAGTCTCATTTCTTAAACTCTAAAAGCTATGAAGTAACATTATGGACAGTTCAGAAAAAAATTAAATTAGTCAAAATCCCATAATTTTATAAGATATAAATCTTATAATTTCTGTGCATCATCTTAAAATATTCATATCAACCAATTTTTTAAAGTTGCAATCCATATATACAATCTGGATCATGCTTCTTGTTTTTTTGTTTGTTTTTGTTCCCCCTGAATATTGTCAAATTTTAATAAAATAAATTATAACTATTCAACTTTTGATTTTCATTAGTAAAATGTTAGTAGGATTTCAAAATGTTGTCACAAAAGGCGGCTCCCTGCAGAGCCTTTGCATTACACAAGACCATAGGTGGAATTCTGATCCCCATCCAGAGTCTTCTGAGGTAAGACATTTCCACCTGAAAGGAAAGCAGACCAGTCTGGAGCAGCTAGAAGAACAGAAGATACTTCTTGAAAGAAAGACCAGCAGACAAAAACAAGAAGTAGCAGTTCAACTGACTGCTACAAGAACAAGCAAGTTGTTCCCCAGGGAGCCATCAAGGCAAGTGGTCAGGTCCCATCAAGGCAAACCCCCTTCCAAGACTGAAACTCAAATGGAATACACTAGCAGGCATATGGTCCTGCTGCTGACCATGCTGGTCACCGGTAAGCAGAAGTAGGGGAAAAACAGCAATGGCATTGTGAACTAAGTCCGATCACATTCAATAAACTCCTGTTAACCTGGATTGAGATCTGGTTAATCAGCAGTATGACGAGACCTGGGGACTCCTGGGCCCAGGGGCAGGGACATGGCCCCAGAGGACTAGAATGGATTGTGAAGCATCCGGCTGATATGAAGTGAGGGGAGATGCACAAGAATACCCACACTCGCAGATTGTACCCATTTGACCTGGCATTAATGGCTGGATGATCAGAACATGACTACAAGAAGAAAGAAGGGGGGGGGAGAGTAAATTATAACTATTCAACTTTTGATTTTCATTAGTAAAATGATAGTAAGCATTCAAAATGTTGTTTCATCCACTATAAGTGGATGAACTTGACCTATGCTTGTGGATGCAGTATGAAAAAGGAGCAGACAAACCTCTACAGTGAGGATCATTCCCACCCCCTTGGCACACAGGTTCAACAGGGAGGGGGAACTTAGACATTGGCTACCCAAAATGGAGGGACTACAAAGGCAAGAAGTGACTGGCTTACAAGCTTTCAGTAGGGAACCTAGCTCCAGAGGATCCAGAGAAAGGTAGAACCTCCACTGAATTGTTTCCAACCTGTCTGGATGGGGTTGATAAAAGGTAAGGGGAAAAGGACTCCTGTGGTTCAATAGGGAATGATTGCTATCAGGTCTGACAGTGAGTGTTGGAAAGGTAAATGTAAATGTTTGGTAACAAAAGGAGGGGAGCTGCTGATTTTTCAGTCCTGGGGCAGAGATCCCTGGAACCATCAAGCGAGCAAAGCAAAGTGTGAGAACCTGTCCAGGGAGGCAGTGACACTAGGGATGGAGGCAGAGATGATGACTTGGGCAAAAGGATTGGCTGGGGACTATGGACTCAGGGAGGGAGAGAGGCTGTGCGCTGGAGGCCGTGGGGGAAAGTGTAGGGTGTACCCTTTGGTTGTTTTATGATACATGCAGGGGATTTTGATCATTGCAATACAATAAAATACAATAGGATGAATGTAAAGATAATGGTCACCCATGTAAACTAACACATTACTCACAATAAAAACAAAAAGTCACATTTTGAGCAAAACAATTTGCTCATGAAAGACAAGATTGAAAAATGTAGACTACAGAACTCTAGAAACACACACATACACTAGCACAGAGTTAAAAGGAAACTAAGGCTGCATCCCCTGGAAACCTCTAATTTTAGAAGTGAGAAAAAAAATGCTCTGAGAAGGTTAGTAACTTACAAAGGGTCACACAGCTAGTTAACAAAGTCAGGATCAGGGTCAGATCCCAGGTCTTCTGGGAAGTATGATTTGTTAAATTGCTAATAACAAATATCTATTTAAATTTATTTCACTGATTTTAGGGAGACAGAAAAGCAGAGGTCAGATTTCATTACCAAGCTACCATTTGATTTAGTTGTTTCAAAAAGCAATGAACATGTAACGTGATTTTGACTGAATTTATAGCATCTTTTATAATGTAGGAAATAATTATTCTTCAATTTTTAGAGAAATTAATAAAGGTAATGAAGAGAAATAAAAGAACTCAGAACTTTTACTCTTGGCTTTACAAAATTGCTGGTCTAATAAATACATTAAATTCACATTCAGTAGATACTGATTTGGTACCTAGTGAGTGTAATCCATCAGAACAAATATTTTAAAAGAGCAAAATATACTGATAATTCAATTGTTGACAATCTATAAAAAGTGAACTAGAAACATATTGGTTACTTACAGAGCCAATTTCAAACAGTACTAAAAAGTGCATGGACCACGTATTATACATACTTAAGAGATGACTTCATCAGATTTTTAAGAAGAATTTGAGATTCTATTAAAGGCAGTAGAGCTTTAGAAGGAAAGTGAAACCCTGGAAAACTGGGTATATGCCAAATCAATTCAAATATTGAGTGTTTTATGGAATTTATATATCTTATGGTTATATTTCAGTCCAAATAATTATAAAGTAATTACACTTACAAAGTCCTGTAATTGTGAAGAGAAAGGATAAATCTTCTGGTAAAAAAGATAACCCTAAAAATTCTGGCACCTTGATGATAACAGTCCGATTTGGGAGATAAAGGCCACATCCTTTCTGTAGCAAAATCACTGGGTTTATCTGATTTACAAATATCGAATATGCTTTACTTCAGCCTGGCCATGAGGCCCAATAGAGAAAAGATTTCAAGTTACTTATGCAATGCACTGATTTAATAGGTGTCTGATAGCCTAGTTTATATTCTGTTAGCAGATTTTTAAAGCTCTAAAGCCATGCATATATTACATGAGAAGCTTTGTGCCAAAATAAATACTCCCAGTCCTTAATATAGGCGGCAATTTATTATATGGAATTTTCAAAAATTAAAATGGCAATGTGGGTTTAAACTGTACACCTCAAAATAAATGAAAAGGCATTATTTTCCTTGAATATATAAAAAAATTAAAACAGACTTTAAAAATCACAGATTTTTTTTCTAGATGAGATGATTGCTATTTTTCAATCAAACAATCTTCTTTTACAGATAAACTTGATTTTTCAAGGGTCAGTGTTAGGATCCAAATCAAGATTAGAGTCATGCCACCTGACTCCCACTGGCCAAGGGGTGGTGGTGGTGGTGGTTGTGTGCCAACAAGTCGGTTCCGACTCATAATGACCCTGGAGAGGGTTTCTGAGGCTGTAAGTATGGGAGCACACATCTTTCTCCTACAGAACAACAGATGGATTTGAACCACTGACCTTGTGTTTAGCATCCCAGCTCATAATCCACTATGCTACCAGGGCTCCTTGGCCAAGGGGTTGCTGTTGTTGTTAAGTGCTGTTGAGCTCATAACAACCCTGTATAGGGTTTCTGAAGAGCAGCTGGTGGGTTTGAACTGCCTACCTTGTGGTTTTCAGTCCAGTGCTGATCCTACAGCATTACACCAGGAGTCCTGGCCAAGGGGTATTAACTGTTAAATACTAGGGGGGACGTCCGTCCAGGCTCTGTTATGCTGCTTTTACAACCTCAAAATTCATGCTAGTTTATCCTAAGAAAAGTATATTTCTTGATCATTCAAAGACCACTGCAGGTCTGGAAAACCGTTCTTGCGGTGGCTACGATTGTGGGGTATCTTTATCCGATGGTACCTTCAAGTTCACAATGCCCAGTCCAGGGGAGCAAAGCTTTAAGTACCACATGTATTGACTTAAATGCTTCTGCATGGAACTGATAAGCATCACTTTTGCTCATATTTCATTAGCCAAAGCAAACTGCATGACCACACCTAGCTTCAAGAGGAAGGAAAACCCCATTTCCCCATATGCCCAAATGGGTGGTGGTGGTAGGGGAACGCTGTCAAGTTGGTTTTGACTCATAGTGACCCTGTATAGGGTTTCCCAGGTGGTACTTCTTTGTGGGAGCAGAAAAGCGCATCTTTCTCCCGAGGAACAGTCGGTAGATTAGAATTGCTGACCTTGCAGTTAGCAACCCAATTAAAGAACCCAGTACGTTACCAGAGCTCATTATCCAAATAGAAGAACCAGAAAATACCGATGAGAACTAGTAACTGTCTAATGAAATAGGAAATTCACTTCTCCCA